ATTCTTTTTTTTTCTAATTTTTAGAATTCATTTTAATGAGAAAAAGTAGCAATGAAACAGTTTCAAAACAGGTTAGTAGGGCAGTTAAAATAATGAATACACTGCATAATGTTGTTTTCGTAGTAGTTATTCAGAGTACAAGATGCAGACATAGCTTGTCTAAAAAATATCAGTACAGACCTTTACTCCCATTGAACTAATACAAGGTAGCTGTATATCTATCCTATTTTGTACATACATATATATATGTATATATGGTTTTGTTTTGGTCCTTCATTTATATCCTCCTTGTTTTGTTTTGTTTTGTCAGAGATGGGTGCTCCACTGTTGTTAGAGAAGCCTTTTCATAGTTGATGCCAATTTCAATATTGTAGGTACTTGAATTCAGCAAAATAACCCAATATAGTCCAATAGTCCATAATAGTAGTGGGTTATCAGCAGAAATGGCAATTGTCTGAAGTTGTTGCATTTACAGCTCAGCCTTTTACAGCTCAGCATGTTAATATAGTTTTACTTTTATATATCGTGGTTATACTTTTCTGCTGGATGGTTTAAGATCAAGTTAAGCCAAGACCCATATATGTAAAAATGTAACTTTTGTATCTGGCAAGGTCAATCAAATCCCCCCAGGATTTACCGTGAAACCATGTACAGCACCTTGCAGATCTTTTGTCAGTGTCAGCCATGTAGATGAGTCATGTCCATTGCTTGACCAATTTGCTCTCTGTGAAAGCCTGAGAAGATATTTTCTCTCTAGGTAACTCTCCTTAGGCACACTATACCTCATCAATCACTTTCCTCTGTCACCCCATAATCTCCTTGATCAGAAAACTTGGGACACCACCGAGTTATAAGATGTCACATCACAGGTTCTCTTATGTCCTGAGTCCTCCCTGACCTTGAAGGGGTAGGGGCAAAATAATGGCTATCCTTTTAGCCCCTCTTTTTCTCTAATTTTTGGTTTGTAAACTTTAGTTGTTAACTTTTGTGGATAACCCAATAGTATTGTGGACTGCTGAACTGTGTTGGATTGTTTTGCTGAATTCATACACCTATAGTATTTAGATGTCAATGAAATACTCATTTCTGACAGGACTAAAAAAAAAGTAATACAAAGGAAAGACCACTTTGTATATATGCAGAATAGTTACAGCTACTTTCACTTAATTCAATGAGAAGAAAGATTTGTACTAATAGTGTTTGGACAGGATATCCTGTCTGCATCTTGTACTATAGATAACCACTAAGAAGATAACAATGTACAATGTATTATTTATTGAAACTGTCCTATTAATCAGTTTTGAAACTGTCTTATTGCTATTTCTCAATGAAATAAAAATAATAATAAAAACTTCAGTTGTTAAACATCCAGAAGAGAAGCTTATGATATTATTGTCCTGTAACAGAGGAGGTTGAGCTTAACCTTACTATCTGTCTGAATATCACACAGCTTAGACATAACATGGAACTGGTATTTTCCAATAACCATGAATATTCTAAACTTTAAATCCCTATAGAATGTGAAAAAAATTACACATTTTTACATAGAACTTTAGATATCAAACCATATACAACATTATAGCAGGACAATCCTATGATTTTCTTTCTTGTCTCATTTTATTACCTTTTTTCTTTATAAACATTTAAAAAGAGTATAGCAACAATTGATATGACATTGGAAGCAGTATGCATTTAGAAGACCAAAATGATAGGTATTTCAAGTTTTAGTGTTACACATTGCTATCCTCAGTTTAGTTACTTAGTTCTCAGATATCAGCATATAGAGTTAGTCAGGGTGTATTCTATATCCTTGACATAGTGACCTCGTGTAAAATCATATGGGTTGAACAGGAGTGTTAAAGGACAGAACCTTTAACAACCAGCACAGGATTTCCCATTTTCCTTTCCCTTTATCATGATGACAAGCAATGTTCTATATAGCAGCTATTCTTTCAGTCTGGGTCTCAGAATGAACCATAGTAACAGTCAAGCTACAAACAATGTAATGTACCATGGTCTTGGTTACTTTTCTCTTTGTTGAAACACCCGACATGCAAAGTTGAAGCAGTGCATTTCAGCTCATATTTTGTAGATGTTTTAGTCCATTCCGCTGGCTTCCAAGGCAGAGTGGCACGGCAGAGGGGCATCAGAGAGCAGCCAGGAGGCAGCAGCAGATAAGCAGCAACAAATCAGCATATCATCATCAGTAGCAGCAGCAGCAGCAGCAGCAGCGGCGGCAGTGGCAGCAACAGCAGCAGATCAGCAGCAGGAGGAGGAGGAGGAGAAACAGGAAGAGCAACAGCAACAGCAACAGCAGCATCTGCCGCCACTGCAGCCCTGCTTTTCCTCTACCCTCCGTATTCCATCCAGGCTGTCTTTTGATTAATGCCATTCACACCCAGCGTGAGGCTTCCAATAGTCACAGCCTTAATTCCAGTATTACACCTTTATTCCATATTACACTCTAATGCAGCTACCTTTGAAACTTCCCACCTACAAGTGCATGAGGCTTTGGGAGGACATCTAGATACAAACCATAACAAGTACATTATTTCAGGATGCATCGGGTAGTGGCATTTGTTACATTAGAAAATCCTATTTAAGTATTTCATTTCTACTGTTCTCTTAGAGTCAACTCTTTCTGGGTTTCTGTATATGGAAATATTAACAAAATTTAGACTTATAATGTTGTTTTGAATATCAATATTAATGTTCAAAAAAGAGAGCATTTGTATAGATCCAGGACAATGAAACATGGCATCCCACAGATCATTTAATGTCTATGATGCTTGCTTTTCTGAGAAGTGGTAAAATCCTATTTTAAAGAAATGTTAGGAAAAAAAAACCCTACAGAATATATAAACACATTTTTAAGGAACTATTTTTGGCTACGTTGGTAGAGACACTATTTTTAAAGCTCATGCTCTTAAATTTTATTCTATAACTTTCAAAAACCAAGGAATGTGTATCTGACCAAAATGGCAAATGTGTCTCAGCCACTTTGCCTCTTCCCTATTCAGCATAAGTATTATGTCCACTGTCATTACAGATGGCTATTATTTAGCCTGAGCTCGTTTTTATATAAGCTAAGATGAAGGATAAAGTTCTTATGGCTTCCCTAAAGTTACCAAGTATCTTTTTGGATCTGAAGACAGATCGTATTTTTCTATTTTCCTTCTCATTACTTTCTGTAAAAATAATGTTACTGCAAAAGAAAAAGCCACAATACTTTACCATATATGGCATACATTTCTACATGTACAGTTCAGTTGAGGACAGAATATATCTCTTATCCAAAAAAGTTCTCTGAATTTTTTTTTTACCTTACTCCAACTCTACCCCATTACAGGCTCCAAGTGTAACTGATATGCGGTCACTACAGATGTCTTAGAATTTGATCAAATATGCAGCTAGTGTTAAAATTTCCGGTTGTCCCATAGTACTGTGGGACTCCAGTTAAAATTCAATGAACCATATTGAAAGTGACAGAGATGGGGGCTGTGTGTGGGTTTGACTCAGTAGTAGAGGGCTTTCCAGGCATGCGTGAAGCCCTGTTTGTTCCCCAGCTCTGCCAATGATTCATATGTTCGATACATTTCTTTTGAATTCACTGTATCTCTGCCCAATAATTTGTTGCAGAACCTGGGTTATTTGTCCTGTACATTTTTCTGACTGGCTGCATTTTGTTTGCGCTGAGTGTTGAACAGGTCCCTCATTCTTCTTTTGGTAGATGGTTCCATTTAGTAAACTGATCTGATTGAGCTTAACTTTTTGGCATCACACATTTTTACTTGGGTTGATGGATTAAAGGCTCTCCACACTCTTTCGGTATAATAGAATTTTATATCCAAGACAGGTAAGTTTCTTGGCTCACATAAACTAAAAATTCTGATGTTTCACATTTGGGACACCTGTTTGATTTAGTTTCTTAGGGTTTTGGCTTCATTTTCATAGGAAATGAATGGCTCAGTTTCATTTCATCAGCACTCACTGGCCTGCTGTGGGTCAAGCATCCATTCAATTAACAGCACTAACTGAACATCCTAATTGGCCAAGGGTCTCACGGAAGCGGTAGTCTCACTAAAACCACATCAGCTTTTACTATTTTTAAAGAAAACGTCAGTCCTCTAACGTCACCGTTGTTCCATTTTACAGACAGGAGCTTTTGCTCAGTCTTTACACGACAGCCCTTACTTACAATCAATATTTCTACCTAAGCGAAAGCGGAGAGAGTGGCAAGCGCGCGGGGTGTTTGGGGCGCGGCCCCGGGAGCTGCCCCGAGTTCCAGCATCCAGCGAGCGCCCGCCGCCCGAGAGGCGAGCTCGGCAGGAGCGTCAGCGCAGGAGAAAGCTCGCCGAGGCCGGAAGCGCAGGGCTCGGGGGCGAGACGGCCAAGGGGTGGGAGGAACACTCACCTGGCAAGGTGACGCTGCAGATGACGTCAGAAGCGCAGGGTTACTTCCCGGGTTATTTTTAACCCAACTACAAAGCAGTAGTGATTTCATGAAACATTTTTGGACCACAAACAGTAAGGCAGAATGGAAACTGCAAGAAGCAGGTCAGGACGCCTTGCCCAGAGCCCGGACGTCGGCCCGCCGCCCTGGAGCACGTTCTTCCGCTCGCTCGGGGTGGGCGGGGGCCGGGCAAGGCCACGCCCCTCCCGTCGGACGCTCTGGGGGGTCACTTCCGGTCCCGGGCAATTCTCTTCCGGGTCGCAGAGCGCTTCTGCTGTCCTGAGTAGTGGCGGAGCCGCGCAGTCCCTGTTAGCTCCTCCTGGTGCGATCAAGCCGTAGCGTCCAGCGGCGAGAAAGCTACCGCTGTCTCAGGCGAAGAGACGAGAGCTGGGGACGGGCAGCAGCTGGGCGCGCCGGCGGGAGCCGGCGGCTCCGCTCCTTCGCTCGCTGCTTCCTCTGGGAACCGGGTGCCGGCCCTGAGGGGCCCCGGGCGGACGGCAGCCCCGTCCCCGGCTCGCTGCCCACCCTGCCGGGGAGGGCGAAAGATGCCGGTGAAGAAGAAGAGAAAAGCCTCCGGGGTGGCAGTGGCGGAAGACGGAGGCCTCAAAAAGTGTAAAATCTCCAGGTACCACCCCCCGCCGGTCTTTCCTCCTTCTGGGCCGGACAGCCGGGGGAGGAAGGGTCGGGCCGGGCCGGCGCAGCCCGCAGAGGGGAGAACCGATTCCGCGCCGGGCCGGCCTCGTGTTGGCGTGTCGGTCGGGGCGCCGGCGGGGCCCTGCGTGCTGCCCGGCGGGGCTCGGGCGTGCGGTGCATCTGGCGCTCCCTCGCGCGCCCTTCCCTGCCCCCACGGCCTTAACTCTTCCTTCGCCTTTTTTTCACACCTAGAAGGATCATTTCTATCTAGGATTCCTTTGTAGCGTGTGCCGAAAGGAGCAGAGCATGAGGAATTTGGGCAACTGCTTTGGGAATCAGAGGAAGGACGAGTATGCTCTAAGTGGCCTTCATATTTAGTATCTGAAATGACCCAACCTGGACGCCCCGGCCCCAGCAGGAGGCCTTTTAAATTACAGGAACCCAGTTTTCGGGAAGTATCGTGTGCCACTCGTCCCGATTCTGCGTGCGGGGAATTAGAAAGGCCTACGTGCTGTCGTGCTTTTTGTTTTCCACCACTCACCACACTGTTAGCTCTCAATATAAAGATTAATATCCTCGCAGCTATTGTGCTCTTTATTCTCTTGGAGAAAAAGAAGAAAAACAGAACTATAGTTACAGGTCTTCATTTAGCCATTACAGAAACATTTTGTGCTGCAGAAATCTTTGCAATGCAAGTGTGAGAAGTGACCCCTCCCCCCATCTTTTTTCGGCTGTGTTTTTACCAAGAATTGACAGTTAAGGCAATAATTTGAGATGCAGCCACTAAAACTAACAGTAGTAGCCCTGGATGAAATAATAGCGCTCTCCTTGAAGAGAGGTCTGTTTAAAATGTGAGGGAGGTGAGAGTATAGTCTGCATCCTTCTTTTTGCAAGAAAAATATATCCTTTTAATTTACTAATATAACATGATGCAATTATGTTGGTCTCGTTTTATTTAGGATATATTAGTAATCAAATATTAAGTATCAAAATAGTACGACTTTGTTTTCAGATCTTAAAAATAGTTTGTTTGGGTTTTTTTGTCTTTATTAATGTACTTAGGCAAAAGGAACCTGAGAAATTTTGTTTTCTTTTGCTTTTTTGAGGCAGGTATGTAGTTCAGGTTGCTCTTGAATATAGTATCTGCCCAGGCTGGCCTCCTCACAGCAATGCTCCTGCTACAGCCTCCTGAGAGCTAGGATTACAGGCATGCACTACACACTGAGCTCCTGGGCTACTATTGGATAATTATCTTTTACTTTGGAGTGTAAAATCTCTTCTCCTTGGTGGTCAATATTAGAATTTGACACGATTATTTTGCCAGCTCTTATTTTTATGAAAAATAGGTAAATGGTTTTTTGATTTGTGGCCTTCTTAAGTGTATAATGTATCAAAATTTCTTAAATGAAGGATATTAAAGTAGCTGGGAAGGCAGATTATTATAACTCAGGTGATACTTTGCTCTATCAATTTAAATTTTTAAACATGGCATCCCTGTTTTACACTACATGATGCAATTATGTTGGTCTCTGAAGTTCCTTAAATCTTAATCATTTTTTCTTTTCCCAGCTTTTAATGATTTTATGAGTAAAACAGAAACTAAGACTAAATTACCTTTGGCACGATTATTTGGTCTATTTTTAATTATTTAGGATTTTTTTGTGTGCTTTCGTTTTTTCAATCTGGAATTTCATATACTCTTAGATTCTAAGGTGTTTACCTTTTAAAAGATTCATTTAGGCTTGATAGGTAGTAAATCTCTTAATGTATTATTTTATTTATATCTTAGTATCTTTATTTTCAAATATTAAATATCAAAATACACTTTGTAAGGTTTTGTTTTCAGATGAGTATATGTTATATACAAATATAGTTTCCGTTCACAACGGTAACAGATTCATGGTGTATAATAATCCTACATTGTGATTTAGGGTGAACTGTGTAGTTCTAAGCTCTGGAGAGATCATTTTAGTTGATGTTAATTGGAATTTGATAGTAAGCAAAGTATCAGTTGCAATTTGTTAGCCAGAAATTCTTACGGTTTCAAATTTCAAATATTTAAGTCCATTTTTTCTTATGATGTCATCTTAAATGAAAAACAACTTTAATTTGAATTGAAGTAGTTCTTATTTAACTTAGTTTTTCACTACGAGTTGAGACTTGATAAAAATCTTAGGCCTTTGTGTGTTTTCTAAGCTATTGCAGATCCCAACCCCCTGCTAGACTAATAAGTGGAGAGGAACATTTTTCAAGCAAGAAGTGCCTGGCTTGGTTTTATGAGTATGCAGGTAATGAAATTAATGTAAGAAGATATCAGTCATATGCTTTAAAAAGTTTTTTTCCCCCATTTATTTATTTAACAAGTTATTTATTGAAGTCCTACTATGTTTGAGTGCTGTATGCTGGGGTTAAGGTCAAGATTAAGGATTGTGGATTGGTTAGAATTTGATGCCATTGTAGGCTGATATTTTTTAAAATATATATTGAATGTGTATTTAGTGGAAAAGAGAAAATTTGTAAACAAAAACATTCACTTACTTACATCCATTGGCTAAAATACTATTCTGGGAAACAAAAGTACATAATAAAATAATTTTTCTATTCAGTATTTTGGAAAAAAATCTGTAAAACATTTTTCTGACATCTTTGTTTTGAAAATTATTTTTGAACTGGAAACATTTTATTTCTAAAACTTCAGGCTAACAGTAAAAGATTCAAACCTCAGATAGGTCATTCTCCAACATCTTTATCCTATGATTGTTATTCACCCGTTTCTACTAGAGATGCAATACTAACCCTAAGTAGGTTGGTATTAGTATTGTGATAAGTACTGCGTTAGACATGCTGTGAGAATTCATAGGAGGAATATGTGACCCAGCCATGATGTCAGGGAGCCTTCGTGAAGGAGCTGATTAACCTCAGCTAAGTCCTATGAGTTGCAAAGTAAAGCTCCAGGCTCGGGGTGGTGCCTAGCCGCATGGTGAAGGTCACAGCCAACCGGCATTACAACCAGAGTTCAGCAAGGGCAAATACATGAAAAGAAGAGTTGTTTCCCACTTATTACCTTTCATGAGAGCACGTAAGACTTTTTTTTCCCCCCTCAATAGTATTGGCCTTTTGGAGTTAGGGATTTTAAAGCTTTGTGTTTTTCCTTTTCCCTGGTTTTTGTTCTCCTTTTATTGTTATTCTCAAGATTTTTGTTTAAAACTGAAGTACACTTGTAATCATTGCTTTGTAGTACTACTAATTTATGTCAAGATCTAAGTGTACTCTGGACTTGCTGTAAAGTTTAGGCCAACTGTGTGGAAAGGGCAACTGTTTTGAGGAGGATCTACTAAGTGATCCCAAAAGTACAATTTTAAAATTGCTTAGTAGCAGAACAGATTCTTTCTAGACCAGGAAAAGGCTATTACTGGCATCCCAAGACAACCACTAACCTAATTTAAATGAAGCAAATTCATTTCTTACTGACCTCCATTTTAAGATGTTGACCCATTATTCAAGATGCCAGTTTTACTGGTATGCATGATAAAGAATCCAAAGGTCATTGCTCCTATTTTACTAATAAGCAAAAATAATGAGTACATTGTTTTTCTTTCATTATTACTTGTTTTACTTTTCGTGGGTATCCTCACATTCTGATGAAATATTTCCTATGTTGGCCTTTTCAAATAGCCATCATAATAATTGCTGTTATTATTCCAGTAAATTGTGCTAAATACATCATTTTAACTTATGGCCATTCTATTAAATAGGTGCTGTTAACCTCATCTTATAAAGGAAGCAAGTGACACTTAGATTAAGACATTTGCCCAGGTCACCTTGACTAGAGCCAAATTCAAGTCCCAGCCATTTGCTACCCCAGAGACCATGTTTTAACTCCTACAGTCTTGACATTGTTTTTAAAAAGTTTGTTTATGTACATGATTATGTAACAGCGACTAATTCTTACTTTCACAGAAATGAAACTTGAAGTTAGCTTTCATTTATTCATGGTTTCAACCAGCAAACTTAGTGAGTACTCATCTGTAAGTCAGACACTATACCAAGTGCTGGGGCTGTAACAGTGAGCAAGTCCTACATGGTCCTTGCCCTCAGGGTCCCTGGCTTCTAACTAAGGAAGACAAATATAAGACAGAGCATAGGCAAGGTACTTACAGATGGTGGAAGCTTGTCCAGTGATATGGGGAGATTTAGGAATAAGAGAAGTAAGGAAAGGCTGGATGGACTTTCGGATGTGTGATGAAGAAAGGCCTCTCTGTAAAAGCTTTTAGGAGAGACCTGCTGGATAGGGAGGAACCAGTTGTTTATCCAATAAACCATAAGTGTTTTGTCTTAAAGTGGAAATGTGCCCCAATAAAATAGAGACAGTAGCTATGCCTACTGAGAGTGCATACAGAACCCTTTGCATAGTACCTGGCATATGATAAGAACTTAATAAATGTTAGCTATTATTAAAACAAATAATATTATAGCATCAGATTTACTGGTGATACATTTTATCATTGTTTCAAGATTGACAAAAGCTTATTTAGCACAAGATGAAATGCTGTGCCACTGAACATGTACATGGTCTTGAGCATCTGTTAATGGTTGGCATGGTATTAGGTCCTGAACCTAGCTAGAAACATTTATTTATGGTTATTTAAAAAATTAGAAAGTTTAAGATGTATATATTATAAAAAAAATCACAAAACTTTTTAAATATAGTATTATAAACATTTGCGTTTTCACAAGATCTGTCACTCTTGAGTTAACACAGTTGTCCTTTTTATATTTGGGGTAAAGTACCAACAACCCCAACTCTGCAGTTGATATTAAAGTCTGAGGATGTGCAAATCCCTGATGTAAAATTGGGTAGCATTTGCATGTAACCAATACACATCCTCTTGAGGACCTGAAATCATTAGACTGCTGATAACCCGTGTTCTATGTAAGATTAGTGATGAGGAAATGCGGTTTTTTTCCTTCTGTTTTTGGTGGTTAAGTGGTTCAGTCCTGAATGAAGAACCCACAGATCTGGAAGGCTGAGTGTGTACTGGATCTGTATTAAACAAAAACATAGCAAGTAACAGGAAACTTTTCAAGCCTTAGAAAAAATATTAAAATACGGTTAGAGTTGCTTAGTGCTAATATAACAGCCAGCTAATACACTGTCCTAAAAGAGTGATCTAAATTATCTCCCTGGCTTCGTAAACTGAGTGGAAACCTAGTTGCCTGAAAGACTTAGTGAATTTCGGCTCTGACGATTTTACTTAGGCAATACTGTTATTGGAAAGGTATGGTACACTTTTTGTAATTAACATGGAATTAGAGAAAGAATATTGCTTTAGACTTAGATCTGTCACTGTTGGAATTGCTTTAGGAAAGTCACGTAACATCTTCAGGACTTGTCTATATAAGGGTATGAGGTCATGCGCATGACTATGTATGTCCATATATATGTATATATGCATACGCATACATAATAGCCTAATTTAACTTGTTTTTAATCAAAGTTAGTTGTTCATTAGGCTCTCAGTTTCTAGGGTACTTTTTTCTCATAGTAAGTGACATTCGTTAACTCTTCAGCTTTTTCTTCTAATCACTGTTGGCAACTTTGAGGACAAGTCTGCTTATTGCATTAGAAAAATCTGGACTATAATCCTATTGTACCTTAGAAATACTCTTTTTTTCTCTTGAATTTTTAAATCTGATTATTCTTGTCCAACTATATATATAAGGATGTTCACCCAGTTATGTATTTTTAGCAGCCTTATTTTATATGTATGCTTTTCATTACTCACTTATTTACTGTGATGCTGGGGGTTGACCTTAGTGCTTTATGGTAAACACAACCCCTAACATCGCCACTATGTATGCTTTTAAATTTAGAAATGTAACACATTCTAATTCAAACAATTCTCTATATTTTACAAAGTGAGGCTCTTGTAATTACTACCCCCTTTTACCTTTTATACCTCAGAGCACAGCAAGTGTTTAAAGTAACTTAATGACATTTACACTTTTGCACAACTTAAAAGGGTCTTGGTGTCTTATTGTTTTGGCAGCCTGGCCACAAAAGGGATGATTATATCTATTAAAACTGTAGAACATTGGTTTCGTGTTCCACCTGTAACGAAGTGATGGTGTATGACAGCCACCTGTGCAGCCTAGGTCTCTCCTGGCTTACAAAGCTGAAGTATTTTTAGTCCTTAAGAAGGGAAGACAGGTTTCTCCTTACTTTATTTAACAACATTTCAAGACTGCAGTCCTTTCACAGTGGTAGACATTCTCTTATATTTCATATCATAAGATTTGTTTTATTCTTACTTAGTACCAGGGACTTAGCTAAAGTAATTATTGTTTTGAGAGTAAAAAAAAAAAAAAACTTATGAGAATTGATACTGACTTATATTTAGTCATAGTAAGGAAGAGCAATAAGATTTAAATTAACTACCATTAATTAACATTCAGACAAATGGTAGACATAATCTGAGCTTGTGTGTATGTTAAAGTGATACACCTTATTGCTTCATATTTGTTTTAGAACCCATACGATATAGGGAAATTTCTTTTGAGAATGTAGTACAGAAAAAAATGCAATACAGTAATTTCCATAAGTAGTTTTTATAACATTTTCAAGAATTAAGTATATTTGAAACAGGTGATAGAGGGTTTGTTTTTAGTAAGTAAACAATTATTCTCCTTTTGATTATTGTGCAGTAGTTCTGACAGTCTAGTAGAAGCTCCAACTTTCCTGTGCTTCTTTATATTCTTGTGTTGCCCAAGTTTATTCTCAGGCTGTCAGTAAATGCTTATTTCACATGTAGTTTTAAATTTTTGTAGACGATGTTGATTGATATTAATAGAATATTTCTTTACTGGTCCTTTTTAAGAGTTTAAAAATTTCCTTAATTTTATGTTGTAATATGGTGTTCAAGGAATACTTTTAAAGTTTTAAATTGTAAATCTTGTAGCAAATATTTATACTTTATTGAAGCTATGCCAAAGTTAAAATTCCATTATTTGTAAAATATATTGTATTCATAGATGCCTTTTGCATAATGGCTTGTTTCATACTGATAATGAATTATAATAAAATATACAAACTACTTTTGTCTTTGAAGGTCCTGATGAAGTTGTAGGGCCAGAAGGAATGGAAAAATTTTGTGAAGACATTGGTGTTGAACCTGAAAATGTATGTTTTATTTCTAAGTGGAATGGATTATAAGTGGGGTTAACATATTAATAAGTTGTGAAAATTGAGACTTTTTCTTTTTTTGAGATAGGGTCTTGCTATTTGATTCAGACTGGCCTAGAACTCACTGTAGTCCAGGCTGGCCTCAAACTCCCAGCAATCCTCCTGCCTCAGCCTCCCAAGTGCTGGGTCTGCAGGCTTGTATCACCATGCCAGCGAGATTTTGATCTTATGTAAAGATTTTGTTTCTTAGTATTTCATACTGTAAATTTGCATTTAGCATTTTTAAAATAAGTTTAAGTTGGGGAACTGACCTCGATGCAAATTTCATTTTAATAGAATGATACTCTGTTTTCATAAACTATTAGAACTTTTACCTTTTAAGAAATTGGTCCATACCAATTCTTTATGGTTAAAAGTTCTAGACGTTTTAGTCTTTAATGATTTTGAGACAGAAATAGTTGTATAAAAATGCTCTCCATAATGTAGACATGATGATCTCCTTGCTGACTTTTCCCCTATCCTTTATGTTCTGTTCTTTCCAGATTATTATGTTAGTTTTAGCGTGGAAATTGGAGGCTGAAAGCATGGGATTTTTTACCAAGGAAGAATGGTTAAAGGGAATGACTTCATTACAGTAAGAAATTTTTTAAAAAACAAATTTAATAGCCTATTTGAAGATCTTAATTGATACTTTGTGCTTAACAGTTTTCAGGAGTAAGGTTTCACCTTTAAGTCAAATTGGTTTGGTCTATAACAATCCAGCTGGGAGTTGACAGTTATATTGCAGTCTTGGTAAATGAATAGTTAGCCCAATTTTCATATTCTTTAAGAAAGAGCTTCAGTATTTTATATTAGAACCTGATAATCCTTTCGTTAGTGAGTTTTAGAGGTCAGTGATCGAAGTCTTCACAAGCTGTGGTACAGGCTTCCCCGCTTCTGAGTATGGATGCCACAGGATGAGTTGTTCACTGTGTAGTCCAGAGCTCTGGGCCTCACGGCAGCTTTAGTTGATTTCAAGAGGAGTTACATGATACCTCTGAGTTGTTAAATGAATCTATTGAAGAAAGTAGAGATGTATGGTTCCACACAATCTTTACCATTTTATAGTTAAATACTTTCAGCTTCAGATGCTTCTTTCAACTATATTAGTAAGTTATAGAATTGCTCTATTAGAAGTTTTCATATTATGTTATGTTTCTAATGCTTATTTAGAATGTTACTAGTCAGCATTTTAAAATAGAGGATTTATAAATTTATACTACTTTTAGAGCACAATGTGGGGTTTTATTAGCCTTGTGGTTTCTGATTGTGATTATACTTTCATTAATATACTTAACTACTCATAATTCTTATTTTCTTGTCCTTCAATTGTTCAGAGTATTTGTTTATAAGGAACATAAATTTTTATATTTAAATTTTCAGTGTGTAATTCTCTTTTGAATTACAGCATTAATGTAAATTTTTCCCCCCCTTAGGGAAAAGCTCTTATATGAACCAATCAAAATTTCTAGAACAACATAAAACCAACTCCTCTTTTGTTACTTATAATGCTGAATTTGAAACTCAAAGAAAATAACAAAAATTTGGCACAAAGCATATACAGTTTCCTGTTGGTAGAGTGAGGATTTAGAATTTAAATTCCCTAATTTCTAGTCTACCATGCTACTTTATGTCATATTGTTCTTTTATGTATAAATAAAAATCTTTATGAAATAGAAGGCCATTATTACCTTTTTAAATCATAGTATTTGCAACTAAAATTGGATTCTGTCATACATTGAGGAGTCATTTATCAAATCAAATATATAGATCCTCAAATTCTTTGGGCTAAATCCCAACTTTAAATATACAGGGGAATATGCAAAGAATGTAAAGTAGTTTTCATACAATTAAATCTTTTATTAAAATTGTTGTGACATGGTTTATTCATTATAAAACATTTTATTGGTGATGTAAGTACTTTTTCTGTTACTACTTTTTATGTCCTGCTTTTGGAATTATCCCAACTAACTAAGAGTTACTTGTGGTTTTAATTTTTTTTTTTATGGAAGTTGATACAAAGAGCTATAATGTAGATGTATAAAACCTTTTTTAATACTGTTGAATGATTAGAATATAATTTTGAGACCAGGAATGATGTCACATGCCTGTAATCCCAGCACTCAGGAGACTGAGGCAGGAGGATTGCTGTGAGTTCAAGGCCAGCCTATACTGCATATTGAAACCCTGTTTCAGAAAGATAAAAAAGACGAAAGACTATAATCTTGAGTACAGGAACAGAAATTGACTAGCTCATGAACATGGCTTTTATTCACATTTCCTGTATGAAGTTTGAAGACAGTACAAAATAAAAGCAATTATCCAGGAGTTTATCTTCCCCTTATTATTATCCCTTGCCTATCTCCCAAGAATAACATACTGTAGGGCTTTGAACTACTCAAAAAAGCATTATTATTATTTTTTTTTTTTTTTTTTTTTTTTTTTTTTTTTGGTGGGACCGGGATTGAACTCAGGCCCTTGCACTTGCCAGGGAAACCCTTATTCCACTGAGCCATCTCCCCGCCCCTCAGAAAAGCATTCTTAACCAGGAAAAGGTTGTGTCTTTGTCAAGATTAGATAGCTATGTGAAACACAAACTATATTCCTTAAATTGACTGTCTTCCTGCTCCCCAAATCTTCTTGTGAAAATCTTGTGAAGAAAATAGTTTCAAATGTAACCCAAGAGACAAAATAATCACTGTGTCTTACTTAGTCTTAAATTTGTAGCTATTTAAAGTACCTGGTTTTACATAATCATAAAATATAAAACATTATGTTCTCACTTCCGTGCGTCTATTTTTCTTATATTTAGAATTTAACTTAATGTGGGCATCTGATGATGTTAAGTCATTTTAGGGTAGTTATCAATAGTTTCAATTAATTAGTTTTGGTCTGTAGAAAACTTTAGTAGTACTATACTAAAGTGTGCAGGGATATAGCTCAATGGCACAGTTCCTGCCTGGCAAACTGGAGGCCCTTATTCTGATTCCCAGTGCCAAAAAAATCCAAAGAATAGAAATCTGGCAGTTAAAACATACTGTGGTCAGAGTAGCAACATATAAGAGCCAGCCAAATAGCTCAGCAGATTAAAGCGCCTGCAAGCAGGCACAGGGACCTGGGGTTCGATCCCTGGGCCTGCTTTGCCGGCCCTGCCCCCAAGGCACACTGAGATGGCAATTGAGACTGGGCATAGTGGCGTACACCTGTGATCACAGCTCTTGAGAGACTGTGAACAGGCAGATCACTATGAGTCCCATCTAGTAGTGGGACCCTGAATTACCCTGTAGACCCTTCCCTAAAATACAAAAAAAAAAAAAAAAGTAGCAGGCTATAATAATCATGATTAATTAATAATCTGTGTTGTATAGTCCTTTACAGTTTTCACAGTACATTCGTCTTAAAGGTATCTTGAAAAACTATCTGCAAATTAATTGGCTGTTTTTCTGCTTTCCATTTTTATGAAAAAATTTGCATATTTGAATTTATAATATTGGACTATCTTGGTTATTGTGTAAGTTTCAGAGAATGAAATTGCCAAAGCCTTTTCAGTATTTGCTCCATGTAGTTTTCATCGGTAATAATAGTCAAATAATAGTCAAATTTCCTTGGAAGCTGGATTTAATTGTACAGATATTTATATTAAACATTTACATTACATGAAGTATGGTGCCAGTTACTGGTAATCACAATAAGGTGTGAACCTTTGACCTTTAGTTACATTTATATAGCAACAGAAGACATAATACTATACCCATAAACCCAGGTAGAACAGGACAAGGGCTAGAGAAAATTTAAAAAAAAATATTGGGAGAGCACAAATAAAGCTAATTTCAAATGAATAGATAAATTTCTTAGATGTGGCTTTTGAACCAGAATTTTACGAATGAGTAGGCTCTTTTTGATTAAGTACGTGAGGGAACGTTGCAGAAGACAAACTAAGCAGAGCCTTGAGGAAGGAAAGTGTGTCTTTAATGAAAGCAAACTGCTTATTAGGATCATAAGGTACATAAAATTTCTAGGGTGGGTTTCACATTCTAGATAGGTTAGGCTAACATGTTGAGGGAGTTTCATTTTGAGCAAGGAATTATCAGAGAATTTGGAGGTCCCTCTGAATGAGCAGCTATTCCTACTGTTTCAAAATCATTTTTGCAGTTTTTTTGTGTATGTGTGGAGGGGAATATTGCTGGATGCTGAGCAACATCCCTAACCTGTTTTGAGTTAGTCTTGCTAAGTTGACCTATGATTGAGGGCTGCCAGCTAAATAGAATTTCATGTGGCAAATGCCCTTTTTGTGGGGTTATGATGGACATAGGAAGCCATGGGGCAGGACTTGGTCCCATCTCAAGTGGGTTTCTTGGCACTGTTTTCTCAGCAGTTGTCTGGTTTATGTGTTCCTCTTTTTCTGAGCTCTGGCTGGTAAGCTGCATGATGCTTTCATTTTATCTTTAATGTCTGTGTGAGCTCCTGGACTATCTCGGCTGCAGATGCAGGTCCATTGTCTGACCCTATGGTAGGGGTAGTCCAGCTCATGGGTGATATCTCTTAATAGCAGCACTTTGGTCACTCTTCATGCCTTGTTAGTTCATGTGCGGAAAGCTTCAGCCCACCTGGAGAAGGTACGAATCATCAACATGCATTGATAGCCGCCGGCTTGAGGCAATTCAGTAAAACCTCTAAGCAGATTTTCACATAGAGCAGCTCGTATTTCCTTGCGGGAGTTCTTTGATGCACAGGTCAAGCATTGCTCACGAACAGCCCAAGCAATTGCAGTGACTTATGGACGTAGAAATGGCAGTCTGGTGATATTTCCAGTGTTGTCTTTCCCATGGGAAGACCCTGCTGGAATTCTTTCACAAACCTGGGGCCCAGCACTTCGGGTAGCCATCCTCCTGTCAGCAAACTTTCGTCATCATCCTTTACATATTTTTTAACTGCTCTGGAATCAGGCAAAAATCAGATTTTGGGGTTTTGGGGAGGGTTAGCTCCAGGACAGAGGGTAGAGTTAGGGCCCTCCTTTGTGGGCTGTCATAGCAACCTGCTTTGCTTCCTTTTCTGTATTTTGTTTTTTTCTGGATTTTATTGTTTTCCTTGGCACCGTACAGCATCTGGATCTATACAATTTTTTGTACACTATCTTTTTTTCCTAGCCATTAGGAGCCCTCATATATATAATTTCAATAAGGATTTCCAGGGTTTTAGATACACATTGACCCAGTTGAACTTCTGTCCAAAGTGCTGAATGTTAGAACAAAAGAAAAGTTCTAGTTTTATTACATTTAGCTGAGGAGGTTGAACTTTAGAAATGGGGGATAGGGGTGAGATACAGAAGCAAGACAAAGTAATTAATAACGTAGCCTTGAAAGAAGGCAAAGAGCCGACGAGATAGCTCAGTGGACTAAGCGCCTGTCTTGGCAAGCACAGGGACAGGGTTTTAATCCCCAGCACCACATGCCATGCAGGTGCAGCGCGCTGAGCCGGCCACCCAGTCCAGGCATGGTGACACGTGTGTAATCCCAGCACTGGTGAGGCTGAGACAGGAGGATCACTACGAGTCCATGCTGTGTAGTGAGACCCTGTACCAAGTACATATAAAAA